GACACCCTACATAATATTGACAACATTATTAATTATATTCCTCGAACTGTCTTTCATGTCCCTGTGGCAATATTGTAGTTACATATTTATGCTGACTAACCCCTTCCCCTTCTCCCTCATCCCCACCCCCTCCCAACTAGCAGCCATCAGTTGTTCCTCTGTATCTCTGAGACTATTTCTGTTTGCTCATTCATTCAGTTTTTTCGATTCTACATATAAGTGAAATCATATGGTATTTGTCTTTCTCCAACTGACTTATTTCACTTAACATAATAGTCTCTAGGTCCATCCATATCGTACCAAATGGTACGATTTCATTTTTCTTTATAGCAGTGTAATACTCCATTGTATAACTGTACCACAGTTTCCTAATCCAGTCATCTATCGATGGGCATTTCGGTTGTTTCCAAGTCTTAGCTATTGTGAATAGTGCTGCAATAAACATAGAGGTACATATATTTTTTTCAAATTAGCGTCTTGGGTTTCTCTGTATGTGATATTACTACTTATTTTTTTTCCAATGGCAGGGTTCAGAGAATGTTCGAAATGCTGTTCAAGTGAAACAAGTATTATCATTTGAAGACTACCAATTCCTTGAGAGAAAAATTCTTTCATCTCTTTCCTTATTCCTTCCATTTACTGCACTCCAAACGGTACATGTTAACATCTGCATAAGGTTTCAATGAATAAAAACATAGTGAAGAACTACAAGCTTTTTGTTCTGTTCCCATCACCAAACATAGCATCCAGGAGGTCTGTGTAAATCCAACTTTCAAGAAAGCCCAGGGCCGGTCGAGTGGCTCAGTTGGATAAGAGTTTGCTTAAGAGCAAGAGCTCTGAGCGACAGCATCGCCAGTTCAATACCCACATGAGCCAGTGAGGCTGAGCCCAAGCTGAGCTGCCTCAGAGCTGCCAACAGGTGGCAGGATGGCTCAGCTGGTGAAAGCACGTACTCCTAACAACAAGACTGCCTGTACGATGGTGGGCTATGCCCGCCCACAACTAGGGCTGAACAGGGCACTTTGAGCTGTGCTGCCACCCAGATGGCTCAGTGGATAGAGCGTGCACTCTTAAAAACAAGGCTGCCGGGTTCGATTCCATGGAAGCTATGATTCCATGGAAGTAACTAAGATTGAACACAGCACCTTGAGCTTAGAGGCCACGAGCTGTCAACGGGCAGCCAGATGGGTGACTGGCGCCCTCCACAACTAAGATTGAAGAACAGCAACTTGGCTGGTCGGTCCCCTTCCCCAATTCCCCGACACTGTTCCCCTCCCCCAATTCCTCAATTAAAAAACAAAACAAAAAAAAGTCCAGATGGCCCGACATCCTAAATTGTTCCAGGATATTAAAAGTAACTGTATGTATGGGCCGGCCGAGTGGCGCGTTAGTTAAGAACTGGCTTGGGATGCCAGAGGGCCCCGGTTTGGATCCTACATATAAGGGCCAGTGACGCTGCCCTCTACAGCTAAGATGCTGAACAACAGCTCAACCTGGAGCTGGGCTGCCGTGAGTCGCAGGCGACAGGGTAGGCTGCAGCCCCTGTGGCAGTGGGTTGCCATGGGCTACCGTGTGTGGCCGGCAGCCAGCGTGAGTGGCCCTTAAGCCTCCGTGAGCGGCTGTCCAGAAGCCAGCGACTATTCTGCCTCACCTGGGAAGAGCGCAATGATGGTGCCAATTTTGGCCAGTGACGCAACGTCCTCCACAACTAGACTGAAGAACAAAAGGACAGCAACTTGTCTGTTCCCCTTCCCCCGGTACCCCAGCGCTGTTCCCCTCCCTCAATTCCCCAATAAAATCTTTAAAAAAAAACCAAAACCAAAAAATCTACTTCAGCAAAGTCTAATACAAACACAAGAAAGAACAAAAAAACCCAGAAAACTATAGCCGAGAACCCTAGGAAAACCTCCTTAAAACAGAAGGTTAACTACATATGATGGGAATACTGGAAAAATAACAATCACCGAGGTTTTCCTAAAATTGATGACAGATGGCAAGATTCGGGATGGTCAGAAAACACTAAACATGATAAACAAAAGTTCACACCCAACCATCTCACGCTCACAGTACACAAAAATCCCAGACAAAAAGAATATATTGAAGAAGCCATAGGGGAAAACACCTTAGTTATAGAACACAGATATTAGAACTAAATCAAACTTCTTTTCAGAAACCATGCTAGCATGAAGAGAGTTGAGTGAAATATTCAAAGTTGTACAAGAAAAAAAAAATCCTTAAAATTCTGTGTCAAGCAATATTTTTCTTCAAAAATAAATGAGAAATAAATGTTTCCTGAGACAAAAAAATTGAAGTAATTTCACATTAGTACACCTACTTAGAAAAACAAAAAAATTTCATCAAGAAAAGTAAATGATGGGGGCCGGCCGGGTGGCTCAGTCGGTTAAAGCGCGAGCTCTGAGAAACACGGTTATTGGATCAATTCCTAAATGAGCTAGTGAACAGCGCCTGAGCTGAGCTGCCAAGGAGTGGCCGGATGGCCCAGTTGGTAAGAGTG